ATCCTTCCTACTCTTCTATATGGCTCTGAAACTATGTATAGACATCACTTCAAAGCCTTTGAGAAATTCCAATGTTGTTTGAGACAGATTCTCTCTATCAGCTGGGCGGACAGATGTACTAACACCAGTGTCCTTGAACCAGCCAATAGCACCAGCATTTAGGCCACAATCATTCAAAGCCAACTCAGCTGGGCTGGCCACGTCTTAAGATGCCCGAGTTCAGACTACTGAAGCCAATCATGTCAACCCAACTCAAGGAAGGCACTTGAATGACAGAAGGTCAAAGGAAGCATTTCAAAGATTCTTTGAAGGCATCCCTCAAGAAATGAAACATAGATATCAACCAGGAGAGTCCCTCGTTCAGAAGAAACCAACTTGAGGGAAACCCCTGCATGAAGGGACACAATTCTTTGAGAACATCCTTTGGTTGGAGGAAGTATGGAAACCGGAGAGAAGAATGCCAGAGATCTCAAAGCCAAGGACTACTTCTACTACCCAAAAACAAGCCAAATGTATGGTCAGAGATGCAGCTCTATAATCCTGTTCACACTTGACTAATGATAGGAATTTCCTAGGTGGACAATCATACTCATTAACGAGTGATTGCCGATAATGCCAACAACATTCCCATTTCAACTGCTACAGCCAGCTACCTCTAGTCACTTGTGCTCGATGTCTCACCCTTTACACTCTGCTCTGAAGTACTATCTAAATTTCCCCGTGTAAATGTATCCAACATGTTGATTTAGGGGGTCAGAGTCAGTTATGGTGATATAAAAAACTGAATTTTCTTAATAATACTGGGGAACCCAAGGGAGTTTTTGGAGAAGATGGCTACCCTGGGGGCTCTGTCTGAAACATCAATTATTTTTCAGTCAGAAGTTGGTGGTGCTGAAGCATATAAAGAGGCATAGACCACCATTCCTGGTGCTTGTCCACAAATGGAGAATACATGTAGGCCAAAAGCATTGACCATATGGGGGGAGGGATGAATGGAGCCTACATCTCTAAAGACTTTCCTGCTGCATCCTTTCCCAGATGGCCTATTGGCACCCTTTTAGATTGACTGGAGAATCCACATGGTGTGGCACCCTGAAGGGTATCAACCATTTTACCACCACCAATTGGGCAATCATTCCTGCCATCAACCCTCAATGTCCTCCATTCCCAATAGAATGTTTTCCAGCTTTCCTTCAGTTTCACAACTATACTCATCTGATGCATATATAGGGGATTGCGCACTATATGTTTGAGATTTGAACTTATGTTAACCCACTTCCAGAAAGGCTTACATACGGTGTCTGAAAATGAGCGAAGTCACCATCACTGTACTGCCCTAATTTTTACTGCTAACAGGTTGTCATAGATTGTAGCATGTTTTCCATTTCATTTCAAAAGCAGTCGAGTTGATTGTAGAACAACTGAGCTTTGATGGATAGCTCATTTTTCACCACCCTTGCTGTGTGAAAGACTTAATAACTTGTTTCAATTCGACGTGACAAACACTCAGTCTTCTTCTTTAGCAGTCCCTCAGGCTCAGTGATGGTTTGCTTCCACTCCGAGGAGGAGTGGGTTCTGTCCAGTCCAATCCTGGTGCCGCAAACTCTATCTTTGGTGGCGAAGGTGGAGTTTGATGAGGTAAGTGGGTGGGGACGGTCTAGATCCCGAGCGCACTTTCCACTGCTTGCATGTGGTCTCCATGTGCTCCGTTTGGTGATGCTTGAAGTGATTGGCGTGTTCATGGATGCTTCTTCTTCAGTTTGTACATTCAAGGGAGGTGATTCCCAGGTGTCGGTGGGAATGTTGCATTTGTTTGCGGGGGGGGGTGCGCTTTCAGGGTGTCCTTGGCGCAATTCATCTGCCCGCCTCGTGATTACTTTGAGCTTCGCAGTGGTAAACAGAGCACTTGTTCAGACAGTCTTGCGTCAGACATGCGGACAATGTGGCCTGCCATTACAGATGGTCATTCATGACCAGTGCCTTGATACTGGGGATACTGGCCTGGAAAGACGCTAACTTCAGTGCACTGACCCTGCCAATGGGTTTGCAGGATTTTGCGACAGGAGTGCTAGTGATAACTCTCCAAAGATTTGGTATGTCTGCAGTACATCATCCACATTTCTGATGCGTACAGGAGAGTTGCGACCATGGCTGCTCTACAGACCCTGAGCTTGGTACTGGGTTTGAGGTCTCGGAGTTCAACCACCCTGTCCCTCATGTGTCCAAAGGCTGCACTGGCATGTCAGCATGGATGTTGGATTTCATAGTTAACGTCTGCTTGTACTGAGAGGAGGCTCCTAAAATATGGAAAATGATGCACGTTGTCCAGTGACTCACCATGGATTGTGATGGTGGCGGTTGGTGGGGGAAAGGCGCAGTGCTACACGGAAGCTGCAAGCTGGATGTTTAGTCTGAGGCCCATTCTCACATGTCTGTCTTAGTGAATGTGTTAACAACGGTTTGTAGCTCAGCCTCTGGTTTGAGCACATGCTGGCGTCATCTGCATGCTGCAGTTCAACGACAGGAGTTGGGTGGTCACGGTTCTGTCCTGGAGATGAAGGTTGAACGATTTCCTGCTCATCCTGGAGGTTGGCTCCCCTCAGGCAGGGAGCTTTATGGATCTGGGTTGGAGTGTTACGGTGAAGAAGGTGAAAAAGAATACTGATGCAGTGATGCAGCCCTGCTTGATCTCAGTTTGCACTCGTATTGGGTCGGACATGGTGATGGAATTCTGCAGGCAGTCAAATTTGAGGAGAGTATTGCACAATCCCTCATGGTTGACAAGAGTCAAAGACCTTTGTGAGATTGAACAAGGCCACGTACAGAGGTTGGTGCTGTTCCCTACATTCTTCTTGGGTTTTTCACATGCTTTAAAGTCATGTCTCTTGATGAGCAGAAGCCACTTTGAGACTCAGGAGGAGGTCTTCAGCCACTAGGAGGAGGATTCACGATGATCTTTTCCATGTGGACAGTTTGGAAATCCATCTGTAATTTCCACAATTGGGCCTGTCTCCTATCTTGAAGATGCTGACAATTACAGCATCTGAGATCTCCTTCCTTTTAGATAAGCAAGGGCAATGAAGTCGAGGATTCATGTCCAGAGTGCCTATCTTTTATTTGAGTACTTCAGTGGGGATTCTATCTGCACTGGAGGCCTTGGTGTTTTTCAGATGTCAGACTTGTGCAGAGTTGAAAATATACTTGAATCCATTTCAACTGGAGGTTTGGATTCATCATAAGTCATTTAGCTGGTTACTAGTTTGAAATTTATAGTTGTGTTGTCAATTTTGAAAAAGATATTCAAACTTTTCAAGATGCTATCCAGTCAATTATTAAGCACCACTACTTCATTTTGTTTTGTCCTATAAGCTACATTTTAAGCAGGTGTTTGTATGAGTTTTAGTGAATGATTGCTAAGCACAGATGGCAGATCTGGGTCTGCAGCATTTACTTTAAAGTCCTGAATTTCTGGCTCAAATATTTGTAAGAGTGATCAGAATTCAAGAATCATTTTAACAGTAGTACTGCTAATACAACTAATTGAAGATTTTTAAAACATGTAAATTGGTGATGGAATTGTTTTATGAAACTTATTACACAGTGTCAACTTAGTGACCAAATCCTCAAAACAATATTGTGACAGTTATGTAGCGTGTTCGAATGGGAAACATTGTAATTGATTATGCCAATGTTAGACGTTGGTAGAAAAATGTGACAGCAGCAAGTTGGATTTGTGGAAAGCATGTCTCTCCTATTCAAAATGTTAACAATAGTTTACAAGTCAAACTGCTATGGGCTTCTGCATAGGGGATCAAAATCTCGTGAAGTATTCAGATAAAGTGGTAAGAGTGGGGGTTACTGAACTAGGATTCACAGGTATTACCCAAACAACATATACAAGTTATTATATTATCTTAGATATATATAAAATTGATCATTATTTAACTCTAAGTAACACAATTTCTTAAGCAGCAATGTAAAGTTGGTTGAAGCTTATGAGTTTCTTTGCAGTGTTGGTTAAGGACCTGGAAGATGCATGCAGAGGTGTTGCCGTACTACTGCTGGTGTAAAATGTGCGCAGTGTTTATTACATATTTTACACAGGCAACTTTCCCTTATGAATGTGGTCTTAGGAATTTATAATAAAAATGAGACAAGTAGTATTTGTTTATGTGGGATTTGTAATATAATGTTAGAGAAAAGAAATCTTTGGAAATGACTGGAGGCATTGATTCAAGGACAAAAAGTTAATAGCAATTGGGGCACACTTTGATTTTATATTCTGTAAAATATTTCTCCCAGCACCTACATTCTATTGGACTGAATGCCTTTGGTTTGTCTTCTAGTCACTGACAAGCCTCTTTCCAGGGAAATATTTGGATTTAACTCAGACACATAAAAAATATTCTGTGCTTTTACTAGAGATCTACAACAGTTTATTGCACTTAAGAGCTATTGCTATGAGAACTCACATTACCCAACTACCTAAGTCCAGAATTGAAATGTCAAATTTGTCATTGTTGGTATTTCTTTCCTTCCCTCTGAAATTTTATGCAGTACATAAGACAGTTTCTTGTAATAGTCTGTAGGAAATATGCAAGTGTCAAACTTTTTCCATATTGCCTCATCCCAATTGGTGTACTGATCACCAAACATATGCTGGGCCCCTTCACTGCTGAGAGATTAAGAACAACCAGCAAAGGAAGTTCCTTTCTTCTCGTGTTTCCAGGACTGACAGAGTTTTTAGCTATTTTGGCTGGACGGCTACTGGAGCAAAAAGAGAACGGCCAAATAATTTTGAGGCCATGGTCCATGTGATGGTAAGATGTACGCTATTCTAGAATCTGTTTTATGAACCCAGTAAAACCATCTTTCATATTGCTGTTAGGGCAAACAATGTATTTGAACACACAGGTGAGGAAACGATTGATCAAAAGAGAGGAAAGCTGGTTGCAATCTCTCCCGTGCTTTCGATTAGCTCTGATTTGAAGAAAACATACCTTTTACTGTAATGTTTATTCCTTTGCTGTATTTGAACAAGTTTGGAATTTCATTCTCAGCTTTGCACTTGTACTCCCCGCCATCTTTGGTTTCATTTAAGAGAACTTTAAAAGCTGCAGGCTCTGTATTAGATCTTGAGATCGAGTAGATGAATCTTTTATTTGAGAACAATGAATAAGTTATAGGAACGGTCCCACTGGTTGAGTGGCAGAGCAGGATTACCCATTCTCCTGTTTTATATACATCTTTTAAAGAGCTGCATTTTATTGTTGGGCTGGATACTGGAACTGAAACAAAAGCATTGTAAGACACACTTTCAGAAGAGAAACAAATCAATACGTTGGTATAATTAAATGGCACATTCTAGTGCCACTGGAATTAGGAAGACCAGCAAACCTTTAACCACTCTCAGCCAACGATTTTCTATCTATCGTCTAAGGATAAACTACAAGGGGTGACTGCTCCAATGGTTTATAGATAAATACAGTTGAGTTGCACAAATGAGAAAAATTTCAGATTTGATTTTTGGAGTTTATGAAAATAGAAAGCCTTCCTGAGATAATTTATGAAATCACCACAATATTCTTAATTGTTAAGCATGGCAAGTATATATTTCTAATCATAAGGAAAGTGGAGGGTCAGCGGTGATGCATAGGGAGTGGCCTCATGTGATATTTCAAAGGCCGTAACAGGCTGCGTTTACTCTTTGGTTTCATTTACATATGAAGAGTCACTGTTTTCTGGAGGATTTCTGTTTGGAACGTTATGCAGTCTGTGCCCAAACCTCCAGTTTAGGCTGACTATCCTGAGACTGAAAGTTAGAATATTGTGTTTGACTGTCCTCTCTTTTTCTTTTGATGTCCAATCAAATGCATAAATGACGCCATTTGCAGCCTCAACATGTTCCAAGGCAATTTATAGTTTATGACCTTTATCATGTCTGTATTATGGTAGATTGGTTCTCAACTGCCCTCTGAAAATGGCTGAGCACATCACTCAGTCCAAGAGAAATTAAGGATGGGCAACGAATGCTGGCCCCAATGGTACCTACATCCCTTCAAAAAGTACAAAAAATAATATTCACACAAACAGCACATGAGATAATGAATGGGTGACCCTGTTTTGATGGTGGTGATTATGGATTAATGTTGGACAGAATAATTCCCTTGCTCTCTTTCCATAATTAAATAGGATCCATTATTGAACTCCACCTGGGAACACAGTAGAGGTATTTTATCATTTAATTTCAAAGTTGGCACATTGAGGCTCCAAAAGTGCAGTGTTCCTTCTGTGCTACACTAAATGTGTCAGCCTAAATTATGTGCATAAATCTCTGCAGTGGTGTGAGGACCCACAATGTTCTGATTGAGGGGAAAGCAGGGGCAAGGCAGGCTTGTAACACATGCTGACCACAGATTCAAATCGATCTGTTGTTTTAGTATATTAATGGGGAAAAAAGGATAATTTTCCAATTTAAAACATTTCATACTATAAATAAACTTTTGGAGTATAATAGTCACCTGATAACTGTAGAAGCTGAATACAAGGATTACAGAGAGCCTGCAGACACTCTTGAAATTTAAGATAAGTGGTGATAGATTAATTTATTTTTATTATAACTGTTGAAATCACATTCTAAAGAACAAAAGTACAAAGGATCATATGAACAAGTATATGTGTTAAAGAAAACCTTATTTTTATGTATATAGAAAATGGACCTTGCCACCCTAAATATAAAGTCTGAGCAGTTAGTTTTATGATTTGAAGCTACATTGAGAGCAATGTGATTAAATGTGTAACAAAACTTATTTATTGCAACTTTCAGCAAGATTGCAGCAACACAAAACTCCAAGGCAAAACATTAATAGTATGTTAGAATTCACACAGGAATGGCACCAGTAACTTGCTATTGCTTTATGTGATGGTGAATTAGAAAGAAATTGTTTAAGTTGAAAGTACAATTCAATCTTGGGAAGAACCTCTTCCATGCTTTTGTTTCTGATGTAAATGTGATTTATTCTTCCTTTAATCTGGCATTATTGGTTGGTAGTGAATCTTCAATAACAGGAAATAACAAATCATGGTTAGAAATGTCATCTCATTAAAAATAAAGTACTTGCACAACATTTTCATATTGTATCCAATCAGGTTAACTAACTTATGTACCATTTGTATTTTGCTGTTAATAAATTTTGTATGTTGCACAATGTAACCTAACAACAGAGATTATTCCAGGAATGTGGTTGGAGTTATGTATTTTTAAAAATGAACAATGATTCAACTGTTGAATAGTTAATTAACAAACATTCGTTCTGACCCAAAATAACTACAACTTTTGTTGTGCAAGTCCAGTTCTCTCATTTGGGTGATGGTGTAGAAGATACATCAGTTTCTATTGATATTTGAATACCTATTTAGAAACATAGAAACTAGGTGCAAGAGTAGGCTGTTCAGCCCTTCAAGCATGCTTCACCATTCAATATCTTCATGACACATCCTCTATCTCAATGCCATATTCTCACTTTCTCCCCATACCTCTTGATGCCTTAAAATGTAAAATTAATCTCTTTCTTGAATATATTTGGTGATTTTGGCCAGCACAGCCTTCTAAAGTAGAGAACTCCACAGGTCATTACCCTCAGTCCTAAATGGCCTACCCTGTATTCTGAGACTGTGACCTGTGATTCTAGATTCCCCAGCCACTGAAAACACATCCTCCCTGCATCTAGTCTGTCCAGCTCTATTAGAATTTCATACATTTCAACTGATCCCTTCTCATCCTTCTAAGCTCCAGTGAACACCGGCCCAGTCATCGAATCATAAAATCCCTAGATGCAGGCCACTGAGTCCACACCAACCCTCTGAAGGACATCCCCTCCCCTTTCCCTGTAACCCTGCATTTCCCATGGCCAATCCACCTAACCTGCACATCTTTGGACTGTGGGAGGAAACCGGAGCACCCAGAGGAAACCCACATAGACACAGGGAGAACGTGCAAACTCCACACAGACAGTCGTCCGAGGGTGGAGTCGAACAGTCAAACTGATCTCTTCTCATACTAATTCTATCAGCTCAGTGAACCTCTGCTGCATTCTCTCTATGGCGACTATTTCCTTTCTTTGGGAAACCAACCAAAAACTGCATGCAACAATTCCGGTGTGATCTCACCATGGTCCTGCATAACTGCAGTAAACCATCCCTTTTTCTGAACTCAAATCCTCTTGCAATGAGGGCTGATATAATATTTGCCTTCCTAACTGCTTGTTGCACTTGCTTGTCAACGTTCACTGACTGGTGTATAAAGCCACACAAATCTCTTTAATGCTTATCCACCTATTGCATTTACAATTTTTACAGAATAACTAAATTAGGCTGCGTACTCGTGAAGGGCAGTTTACACACCTGAAGAGAATGACAGAAAATGCTCCAGTTTCTTGGATGTGTGCAATCTGCAATAACACGAAGTTTGATACCATCTAAAAACAAAGCTGCACGCTTGTTCAGTTCTTCTGTCATTTTGTTACTGAGGAACTGCAGCTGAGGTACATACAGTATTTACAGGATGTAGCCTGGTAACTTATCAAGTTTCCTGCTGCATGATATCCACCACAAAGAAAGACAATTGATGTTAACACCAGAACTCAAATTCTCCTCCAGGGTACACATCATGTTGTGTTACAATACCGGAATTTGAAACTCCTTACCTGACACCATCAAGGGAGTACATTATCTTTTACGATAGCTTTATCCAAGATTCAGTAGCCAAGTTGTTTTTTTTTAATTTGTGCGTTTTGTGGGATGTGGGCATCGCTGGCTGAGCCAGCATTTATTGCCAGTCCCTAGTTGCCCTTGAGAAGGTGGTGGTGAGCTGCCTTTTTGAAGCACAGCAGTCCACCTGCTGTGGGTTGATCCACAATACCCTTAAAGAGGAAATTCCAGGATTTTGATCCAGTGTCGGTGAAGGAACAAGTTGCAACAAGATTTCCTATTTTGATGGTTATAGAAGTGTGCTTCCCAGATATATCTGTAGTAGTTAAATTTCAACCAGAACAGCATGCCATGTTTGTGATATGGATAGGATCTTAAAAGACAATATGGGCTGCATTTTTCAAAAATATCTTAATAGCAAACTAGTGATTCACTCAATTCAAATAAATTAGTAATAATGTATACAGTCAAATAGAAACACTGCATGTGCAAACAACCATTTAAAACCTCCAAAAGCTGTAGGAACCATCCAACAGCAGCTAAAATAATACTTAGTCACCAAGTAAATGAAATGCCCTTTAAACTAAAATCAAACCTTTACAAAGCAAATTTAACAAAATAAGGTTGTAATTGAAACAACAGAATAACATCTGAAACAACAAAGTAAAATGCTAAAAACATTCATCTAATCAGATAAATGTCTTGAGAGAGAATTAAAAGTTGCAGATGTAGCCCATCAGTATAACCAAGATGAAATGCAGAAGGACGCCCGCTTGCGATGTGGTGGTAGCGTCCCTATCCCTGGACTAGAAGGCCCAAGTTCAAGTCCCACCTGCTCCAGAGGTGTGTAATAACATCTTTGAACAGGTTAATTAGAAAAAAATAGGCTAATGTTTTTAAAATGAAGTGCACAAGGAGGGCCGTCTTGTGACACAGTTACAATGCCCCTACCACTGGACCAGGAGGCCTGGGTTCCAGTCCCACATGCTCCAGAGGTGTGTAATAACATCTCTGAACAGGTTGATTAGAAAAATAGATTGTTTAAAAAATGAAGTGCAAAAGGATATATCTACTGGGAGGGATTGAATACCAGTGCCAAAACTTTAGGTCTTTCTTTCATTATTTCAGTGGCTTATTTCATTTGATTCCACCCAGTCCAAGCAGTGAAGGCAAAAATATACCTTAAATGAAATTACTTTGAGCTATCAGTATAATTTTCAGTAAACAGAAGACCACAGCAGATCTTGACATGGCTTGAAATCTGCTTTGGTTTAGCATTTTCACTAAATGACAGATCCTTTAGAAAGCAACATGCCACAGCATTGCAATTCTGTTACGAACTCAGGGTTAAAAATTTGAGACAGGAGGAAGCTTTAACTATACTGTGTGACATTGATGTGGAAGCTAAAATGTAGGATTATTCAATTCTCTGGGAATGCTATAATTCATTTGACAAGTGCGTGTTAATTTAATCAGTATTCTTGTACAGTTCTTCACCATTGTTCTACTTGGAATAGAGAAATTATGGATCAATTCAAATATCATGTGCTGATATTGATTGAGAGAGGAGGACATCGTGGAGAAGGTGCTAAAGTTGGTAGATTAGTATTATGTATACTATCTTTCAAAGTATCAACAGTATTTTTAGCAGAAGTACACTTGTTGAGAGTTCTATTAGTGTTTATAGAAGTTAGAATTAGAGTTAAAGAGCAGTCTGGTGTAAGAAATACAAGACTGTGGAAGCACTGCAATTCAGAGTTATTAATTAAATATTAGTAATGTATGTACATTTTTGTATGGTATTTATGGAGAAATAAATATAATGAAACCCTTTGCATATTTGAATTCTTTTGAAAATCAAATTGTTTGATAACCAACATAGATATTCCAATGCCAGATTGTGAAATATATTGCGCGCACCATGCAGTAAATGTGGCAGGAATTAGTTATTTAATTGTTAAAGCTCATAGCTTTAACCTTCTCCATTGCTGCTGATAGTAGACATCATAATTAACAATTTCAGAAACAGACTATTAATTTGTCTTTTGTTCTATATATGTAAATATACAAATAAATAAATAGGCTCAGAATTTCTGAGAATGTTTTAGTTTAACTATGCTATAAGACTGATTCTCTTCGGAAATTTGCATCTACATTAACTGATTTGTGTCATTTACATTGAAACATCAATACTCCTGCAGATTTCTTCAATTGTTTGTGCTGCTTCTGAGATATGCTTGTGGAAATTTTCTATGATTCATTTATCTTGTTCCAAAGAAAATGGCATAAATTTCAGCATTATTTCTGTGCAAGTACAATCCAGGAAATATCAGCCATAAATGTTGATCAAAAAGACATTTATCGCTGTCGTTGTTTTGCACTGAAAAACCAAAACTCTCTTTCTTTTACAAAGTTTCCTTTTACGTGAGTGTTCAGAAGTAGTTTTTTAAACACTGCATTCTCACTTCAGCTGCCTCATTTAAAAAAATATTCTTGATTAAATAAAACTCTAATTAGAAAAGACAGCATCGTCTCATCTTTCAGAGGCCAGTGATATCTGGGGTACAAGAAAAGAAAATTGATTTTGCTCAATGCTGGTCCCTTCCTACATTTTACCTGTGACTGCCCATATGTGATCTCCAGTTTTTTTTTTCCTTTATTCATTCATGGGATGAGGGCGTTGCTAGCTAGGCAGCATTTATTCCCCATCCCTAATTGCCCAGAGAGCAATTAAGAGTCAACCACATTGCTGTGGGACTGGAGTCACATGTAGGTCAGACTGGCAGTTTCCTTCCCTAAAGGGCATTAGTAAACCAGCTACTGTCAACAAACAGTGCTCTTCTGCTATTTAAAATTTAATCTAAAGTCAAATAAACTAGCAGCTGAAGAGGGTGCTGCGTGTTTGGCAACTTGACGCTGATTGCTTTTCCATGACAAAGTTTTATGCAATGGGGAACCGTCAGCTCCACAAGTTCCAAGCTAATTGAAAAAAAAAGGTACAAGGCTTAAACATATTCCTTTTATTTGCAGAGAATGGGGCCTAGTTTAAGAATGTACATCTGTTCCAGCAAGTATAAAATACCACACATTACAATTACTACAAAGCCTAATCAGAAAAGATAGTTTGTTGTGAAATCTTGAAGTAAATATCCTCAATCTGTGTACACTGCTGTTGAAATCTGTTAATGTATTGTGACTTTACATACCATCATCACCACCTCAGGAAAGACAGTGAAAAGAGGTAAGGCTTTTTTTTAAATCTCTTTCTGTACTGGCTCAAGGGATCAAATGGCCTACTACACCATTTTCATATCTTCATATCATAGTACAAACTCAATTGGATTATCTTAAATTTGGTGTTAGTGTAGTTGTTCCTCATTGACAAGACATTGCCATACAAAATGCAGAATTCACTTGCTAACCAGTCAGCCCTTTTTTTTTGTATAGTACAAACTGTTGTGATTGTTGAAATTTGGCATTCTTGCATTTGTCCTGATGAATGCAAAGCAAAAAGCTTTCACAAAATATATCCCCTTTCAAAAGTACTATTGTTCTGTGCTTCTAAGGAAGCAATTGACTTACTGTTACTTCAACAAGATTATCGGAACCATTTCTACTGAGAAGAAATTATCATGAGAAGATAGATATATTGACCTTACCTTTTACAGTTATGATAACATACTGACTTCTTTCTGTTCGAGTGATATGATCTGCAGAATTTGATGCCTCACAGGAATACTTTCCACTGTGTCCAATCTTAACCGAAACAATATGATGGACTGCTTTGGTAGCATTTAACGTTATTTGATGCAGAGGATTTTCTGATGTATCTTGGTAAAACTTGTAAGTTATTGGATAAGATCCGCCCAACACAGCACATGAAAGATTCAAAAAGCCATCTTTAACCACATTACCGTCAGTGGGTGTTGACATTAAAGTTGGTACGGAAACTGGTACTGTTATGAAAGAAAACAAATTTAATCAGATACAAATGTCTTGTTATCTAGTATTACAAAGAGTCAATTTTTGTCTGCAAAGGTAGGCTGGTCAATGCAAAGTTAGCCAATATTGTAGCAGTAGTCTTTTTGGCTTTGTGCAGCTTTGGAAGGACAAGTGGAAGGAGCTAATCTCATGGGAATTATACAAAATTACCCACATGCTGTAATTTAAAACAGCATGCAACCATTTAAAAGGCACAACACCAAATTGGAAGCAAAAATTCCTTCATTTGTGAGGAATTTCTGAGCAGTTGAGAAGCCGGTCTCGACATAGCTTGAAGTTTGCAGTGGTCTTGGCACAAGTCCCAACACTTTGCCTGAAGAACCCTCGAGCTGTTGAATATGAATGTAAGTTCAGAGTTTCCCTTCACTTTTCACAAAGGTACACGAGGAATGGCACAAAATCTTACAGTGGGATGGAGAGCTGATAGAGGGTGTGCCCCTGACCCTTCCTCCTTTTTCACTGCAGTTGCAAATTGACACTCCACAGTTGCCAGAAAGAGGAATATTATCTGCCCTGCCACAGTTATTTGCTTCAGTTTTGTTCCATTATAAATCGTATTTAAAAGTTATCAGAAAAAAGGACACAAAACCGTAGGCTAGGTGATAAGCCAAACACGGTGATGTTTAGGAATGTTCTGGGCATGCAGGAAAATAAAGAGGAATTTTCCTTGGGTCATCCTCTGCTCCATTGCTGTAATTTTAATGGGAATCTGAACAACAGGAGAAACATTGAGGAAACAAAGTCTGCAAACCCAGCTCCACTACACACAATTGCTGACACCAAACAACTTAAGTCTAGAATCTCCCAAGACCGTTTTTGAGCTATGTATTTCCCAAAGCAAATAAATATCAGTCTTACCTGCCACAGTCACTTGTCTTTTTATAGTTTGAGATAAACTCTTCCATTTCACCATGCACCCATATTTTCCTGTATCAGCTGCATTTACTGTTTTAGAAAATACCACTGAGCTAGTATTTCCTATGCGTATTGGAGTTGTATCCTTCATAATGATTAGTTGAAGTTTTACATGAGGAAACAAAGGCGTAACCCTGCATTCAGTGGTGAGATTATCTCCTTCAAATATTTCATTTGACGGTTTAATTTCAAATACTTGATCTGAAAATGGACCTGAAATATAAGGTAGATGTCGTGAGCAAACAGTGGGAGCAGTGTCGGACATCACTACAAAATTAACATCTTTAGGACACTGCTTTCCCATTAGCTAATTCCATATCACTTCCTGATCAACAGTACTGCTGAAGAGATTTTTTTCTGTCTTTACCAACTGAGGAGAGCTGCTGATTTTTCTTCTAGTGTAGAAACGAGGAAGATCCTAGGCCCTGAAAATTAATCTCAACTGCCAGTTTATGCGGTAACTGGGAGGACACCTAATTTGCAGGGACCACCACTGTGTGGCTACTGACACCAGGTAGGTGGAACATCAGGTACATGTGGGAAGGGACATTGGGTAGGGGGAAAGATGACCTGTTATTCTTCACAAAGTGTGTAGTGTTCCCTCTACTCCCATCTGTATTCACAACTGTGAGAGGTCTAGACAGGGTAGGTCAGGAAAATCTTCACTCTCCTGAAGGTATCAAGAATAGGGCATAGGTTTAAAGTAATGAATTTGGTTTAAAAAAATTAAAAGTGATGTAAGGAAAGTCTCACAAGGTAGGAATGGGGTTGTCAGGCTGGAATTCCAGATTTTCCCTTCTAATTTTCTTCCAGTTTCATTGGAACAATGGCCAGGTAGAAGGCCACCAGACATAACTGGTGCAAGGAACATTTGAGTGGGACAGACAGCAAGGAGGAGCAAAGCAAATGAAATCTTCAAACTAATTTACTTCACAAATCTAGATCAAAAGTTCTGCTGAAGGCAGCTTTGTATTTGCATATTTTATTGCCTGACTAAAGCCCTAAACCCACAAATTCAGGATTGTTAACTTGTGGTTACACTGTTGTATTTAAATAAGCAGTAGTGACATTAACAATTTACACAGCAGCTTAAACTTGGATGAATGTTACAAAGTGGTACATTAAAAACTTAATCTGAAATAATGAAGTGACCAAAGAAGAGATCTCCAATAGAGTTTGAAAGTGTAAGGTTCAAAAATATACATAGGGAGCAGTAACGTCATGAGGATGAGAATTGTAATTTGTGGATGTTTGGGAACTAAGGATTAAAATAGGTTAACAATTGCAGGACTGAAGAGCGAGTGAATTTGGTGTCAGGTAGGATATGGTTAATAGAGACTTAGCTCAAGATGGGAGACCAGCCATACAGGGAGCATTGGAGTAATTGATTATGAAAGCCAGAGATGACACATACAAGGATCAAGGTTTAACTGAAAGATAGGCTGAGGTAGAGAAAGAAACAAAGTGAAAACAGAAGATCTAATGGTAGAATGGAAAAAAAAAATCAGTTTGGGACCAAAAAGGACACTGATTTTGCGAGGAGAAATTCCAGGTGGTGGTGTTCCAATGCATCTGCTGTTTTTATTCTTCCAGGTCTTGGAGCTGTAGGTTTGGAAGGTGGTCCAAAGGAACCTTAGGGAGTTGATGCACTGTAACTTGTGTTGGTGGTCCAGGGGATGAATGTTTAAGGTGGTGGACATGGTGCTAATCAAGAGAGCCGCTTTATTCTGGTTGGTGTTAAACTTAAACTGCACTTAACTAGGTAATTGAAAAAAATTCCATCATACTCCTGACTTGTCTTATAGGTGACAGAATATTAATAAATAGGTTACTTGTCCCAAAACTTAATGGCCTTCGACCTGCTTTGTAGGCATTTAAATGTCTGGCTGTCAAGTTTATGAACAATGGCAATCACAAGGATATTGACTGTTGAGGATTCGGCCATGGAAATATTCAAAAGAAGATGGCTATATCCTCTTTTGTTAGAGATGATCATTACCTGGCACTTAATATGAATGTTTATTGCTGCTGCTTAGTATGTGAGGAGTTGAAAATGGTACTGAACACTGTGCAATCAGAAAACATCCTCACTCACCACATTCACCGTTCTTTGAAGATTCAACCAATTTCCTGTGAGAATTATAGCAAGAAATTACCTACAGAATATTTGGGCCATCATATGTAAATACTTTAATATATGGTTCTCCTGGGTTTCATCTCTTTGTTTGGGCATTTCACTGGCTTGCCTCTGCAGTTATAGAAGGAGACTGGGAGGATCACTGTGGAATTTTGGATGCTTTGTAGTACATAGAATTATAATAATTGAAATAGAATTTTTAACTTCCAGATATTTTAATTTACCCAAATTAACTTACTATGTACTGTAAGTTGTACTATTTCACTGTGCTTTGAGATACTTCTGGTAGCACTCACTTCGACTGTACAACTATAGTTTTTCTCTGCATCTGCTGTCACCTTCAGTCGGTGTGTTGCAGATTTGTTATTGCTTGTAGTATCATGGAGACGCTGGGGGTTTGGTCCATTTTTATATCTATAGAATATGAATCTAAGAGGAGGGATTTCTTCAGATGTACAGCACAGCTCAGTCGAATCTCCCAGAACCACCTCCATCGGTTGTATAGTGAGTACAGGTGTCTGTAAATTTCCTGAGGTATACAAACAGGGAATAATGAAATCATTTTTTATGCCTAGACAAATAGGAAAGAAACAATAGTTATTCCAGCCTTTGCAACAGTCCATATTCTGCACTTCCATGAACATCTTATTTTTCTATATGGCAGTAAAGACCATTCAGCCTAACCGATCCATGTTGGTGTTTTTGCTCCTCACAAGGCATTTCCATTTTTCTTCACCTGACCTCCTTCAACATATTCCATTCCTTCTTTATGCATTTATCTAACTTTATCTTAAGAGCATCTACTCTATTTTTGCTGCGATAGACAATTCCACATTCCTGCCGCTCTCTGGATAAAGAAGGTTCTCCTGAATTCCCTAATCGGAAATTTTAGTGACTGTCTTACACTTTTATTCCCTAGTTCTAGTTTCTCCTTGCGAGGGAAACAACACTGTCTGGTTTATCAAACCTTTTTATAAACTTAATGGCTTCTATCAGGTAAACCATAAGCCTTTTCCTAGATAAATAAATGACAGTGTGTTCAATCTTTTCAGAAAGGAATGTCATCTCATTTTTGATATCACTCCACCAAATTTTGTTTTACATCTTCTTCAGTGCCTTCATGTCGTCTTTTAACATGGAGCCCAGACCTGTTTTCAGTATTCCAAGCTTGGTGTAACTAAAGATTGATACAAGCCTAGCAAATCTCCTCTACTTTTTAAACCCGATTCCGCCAGAAAATAACGTGTCTGTTGTATTTGCTTTTTCTTATTCATGGGATTTGGGTAACGCTGACAATACAGCAGTTTACTGCCTATCTCTAATTGTCTTTGAGGAGACATAGTACACATAGACATAGTATTGCTAGAGCTGCATACATCCAAAGCAAGTGGGGGTGCTCCATCAGATTCCTGACTTATCCCCTTGCAGATAGTGGACAGGCTTTGGGGAGTCAGGAGGGAGTCATGCTGTAGGATTCTTAGCCTGAGCCGCTGTTGCAGCCACTGTATTTGTATGGCTAGTCCGGCAGTTCCTCACTGATGATAAGCCCTAGGATGTAGACAGTGGAGAGATTCACTGAAGGGAATGCCATTGAATATCGTGGTGATATTTAGATTCTCTCTTGGTGGAAATGGTCTTTGCTGGCACTTTTGTGTGGCATGAATTCAATAAAAATCTAAAATTGAAGAAAGTTGGCCTAATAACGACCATGTAACCACTAATGATTGTTGTAAAAACCCATCTGGTTCACTAATGTCTTTTAGGGAAGGAAATCTCTCATCCAACTTTGCTCCAGCTACATGTGATGCCAGACTCTGTGCTTGATTCTTAATTACCCTCTGAAATGACCCAAGGAAACCACTCAGGTCAAGGGGCAATTAGGGATGGGCAACAAATGCTGGCCCAGCAAGCAACATCCACATCTCATGTGCAAAGAAAAACAAGTTACTGGCCACTTGTCAACCCAAGCCTGGACACTGGACAGATCTTGCTGCATTTGCACTTGGACCTCTTTAGAACCTGAATCATCTCAAATGATCCCAACATTGCACAATTATCAGCAAACCTCCTCTCTGCTGATCTTATGATAGAGTGAAGGGTTACTTCATGGCCACTTAAGAATCTCAACTCCCCACACTCCCAATTACTTGCCTTCCTGAGGGGTGAGAAAAGTTGCTAGTTTTCTAACTGACTGATAGATTTCAGAGCAGGTATTGTCTGAAAGGTTGGTGCTGAGGCCCAAAATAAACCAAGAAGCTTGACTGTGCTCTACCTGTCAGCTCATAATGAGCTGACTGCTGTGCAAGGAGTTGAGTTATTTCTGGGAGGAGGTGGCATGTCAATCACTTTTAACATTTTTGTTCCCACTTTGACGAGAAATGGGAAAATCCATCTTTTGCTTCGAAAGGACGATATCCTCTCTTTATTGTGTGTAGCAAAGGCAATAATATCCTACTTATCAATAACTTGTTGTTAAATTTAACATAGTCCAAAGAGTTCTCCCCTTCCACGTTTATGTTCTCCAACAATAACAGTCCAAGATACATATTTGAGGCACCTTGGGTTGGAATTGTGATACTACTCACAAAAGGTGTAAGCTGAGGTGGGGTATTGCTCTTATTTCTGGGACAGATGTCAGTAGGTTCAAGAACAACTCCAAAGTTTTGAGCACACAATCTGGCACCAGTGTGACACTAAGATAATGCTACATGTTTAGAGCTGCTGACTCTTAGATCAGAAGTTATACTGAGATCCTTTCTGCTTTCTATTCCATGATACAATGAAAGAAGAACCGAGCACTTCTCCCTTGAGCTAAGACACAGGGGCCAGAAGTAGGCGATTCAGCACATTGTGTCTGCTCTGCCAGCCAATGAGATCCTCAACTCCACTTTCCTTCCTTTTCTCAATAACCCTCGATTGCTTTACTGTTTAAAAGTCTATCTCAACCTTGAATACACTTAATGGCCACCTCAACAGCTTTTCTGTGATCTTCCTATGATCCAACAGTTAGAACATATGTTTGTCATTATTACACTATTTGTAGGATCTTACTGCGTATTTTTGGCAACCTCATTACAACAGTGGCATAACTGCCAAAAGAAGTACTTCTTCACGATGAAGTCCTTTGGCACATTCTGAAGTTACACAAGTAAACTATATATCTTTACATTTAATGTTATCAGGTATTTAGTTCCTATGTCACAGCACCTGTAACTGTAATAAACAAGGAAGTACTTTCTTCCCTTTGACTTCCTGTTGTCACTTCACAATGGTAGTATCCAGAATGTGAGGGTCGAGCAGATTGTATTACATATTGAAATTCTTGCGCCTCAATTGTATCACGTTTCAATAGGACATCTTTCTGTCCCTTATAGATTAAATATGAAATATGAGGTGGTTGACCAGAAGCTGTCAGGATATCCACTGAACAAGTCAGAGTAATGTTGCTTCCTTCTTTAATATCTCCAACATCTTCAAGATTATGTTTTAGTTTTACGCTGTTTATTGTCAAATCTGTGAGAGAAGAACAGAGACAAAATTAAATTCAATTTGTGCAACATTTTTACCCTGTATTACCTGCACGGAAACCATTGTTAGAGTACAGTGTGCTTATTTTCTATTTACATATTTTAGAGAGATTCTTTTTAAGTTTTTAGCATTGCTGTAATAATCAGACCTCTAAATCGGTTTACAAAAGTTAAAACAAAACTACAGATGCTAAAATTCGGAAACATTCGTTGTAAGTTTGGTTGGTCTAGCTGAGAGATTATTACAGGCTAATTTTTCCCATTTTTAGTTGACGTGTTTTATCCAGCAAGATTCATCGTGCACAGTCCCCCATAGCTCAGAAAAAGACCTATGCTCCTCATGATTTTATAAACCTCTATAAAGTCACCTCAACCTCCTACACTCTGGGGGGGGGAAAAAAAAATTCCCAGCCTATCCAGCCTATGCAGCCTCTCCTTATAACTCAAACCCTTCAGTCCTGGCAACATCCTGATAAATCTCTTCTGAATTCTCTCCAATTTAATAATATCTTTCCTATAACTGGGCAAACAGAACTGTACACAATACTCCAAAGGTGACCTCACCAACATCCTGCACAACCGCAACATAATAGCCCAAGTCCTATACTCAACAGTCTGAGCAATGAAGGCAAGCGTGCCAAACACTTTCATCTCATTAACTATGCAACAGGGCTCTCTGGCTCTTTTCGCATGGAATCACCTGGCAGGAAAGACACCACTGCTCACGACTTCCAGAACCTTCTGCCATTCACGCCACTGGTGCCCTATTTAAAGCCCCAGTTACACACCGCTTCTGATGCTGCAATTCAAGAACTGGTCTTTATACTGTGGTACTCGCCCATTATAACAGAGGAAATGGCCCAGAAAGGAAAGCTGGCATCCTGCTTTGACTGAAGGAGATGTGGTAGTGTTGGTGAACTGTGAAGTAGAGAGGAGGGCAGTGCTTTATCTAGATGACCAGTTCTGGAGGCCACGTCACCAAACACAGCCAGCATGGACTCGGAGAGCTGCCTGGCTCAGTTCTATGTCATGGGTAAAAAGGAACACTCATCCATGACAAGCACTCGCTTGAACTTTCCCACTGAATATACCTCTCACCAAGATTTACAGACTACAGTGACTCTCGCTATTAATTGCGTCACAAAATAAAAGTAGGGATTGCGGATGCTGGAGATCTGGAACAAGCAAAAACAGAAATAGCTGGAGAAACTCAGCAGGTCTGGCAGCATCAAAAGCACAGTTAACGTTTTGAGTCCAGTGATTCTTCTTCAGAACTAATAACAACCAGGAAAAAGTGGTATTTATGTTGCAGACGAGGTGGGAGAAGGGGGTAGAGGGAGAGGTGAGTGGATAGGTGGAGATGAAGCCCTGAGAAAAATAGATGCAAGAACTCTATCCCATTCTCCGAGTTTCTTCATCTCCATTGTATCTGTTCTAACAATGCCTATTCTGCAGGCGGGGGGAGGGCTTCAGAATATCCACCTTTTTCCTCAATCGTGTTCGACAGTGTCCTTAGCTGTGTACGATCCATCTCCTGCCTTCTTCCCTCAGCCCTTCACTTCCTTTCCACAACAATGGTCTTCACTCACCACCCCACCAGCTTCTGCATCTAAAGGATTGTAAGCTGCCATTTCTATTACCTCCAATTGGACTCCACAACTAGACACATTGCCCTTCTCTCCTTCAGCATTCAGCAGGGAACATTCCCTCCAGGACACCCTGGTTCACTTCTCCTCCACTCCCAACATCTCCCACACCCCCAGGGTGCCTTGCCATGCAATTGCGGATGGTGGTAGCAGCTGCCTGTATACCTCCTTCCTCTTCACCATCCAAGGTTCCAGACATAGCTTCCAGCTGAAGCAGTGATTTACCTGTACTTTATTCAAACTAGTCTACTGTATTCGCTGCTCACTGTGTGGGCTCGTCAACAGTGGGGAGACGAAATGCAGACTGGGGGTGACTGCTTTGCAGAACACCTACTTCTGTCTGTAAAAATGACCCAAGTCTGCCACTTCAACACACCACCATGTACCCTGGCTAACATCTCTGACTCGGGCCTGCTAAAGTGCGCCACTGAAGCTCAGGGTAAGCTGGAAGAACAGCATCTCATTTTCCACTTGAGGACCCTGCAGCCTCTAGGACACAACATTGAATTCAATAACTTTCGAGCTGGATTCCATTCTTTCATGCTTTTTACCCACCCGCACGCCCAGTTTGGTCATGAGATGGGCTGCTTTCAGCACAGCCTACACATTCTCACCCACTCTCAGCCTTTTATCACATTACACGGGCTGTTTCTAACACAGCCTACCCATCCTCTCCTACTTTCAGCTCTCACTTTCACTTATTTAGTTTCTCTTCCATCCTGGCCTATCAATATTGCGAGCCAACAAGGTGCAGAGCTGGATGAACACAGCAGGCCAAGCAGCATCATAGGAGCAGAAAGGCTGACGTTTCGGGGCTAGACCCTTCATCAGAAATGGGGGAGGGGAAGGGGGTTCTGAAATAAATAGGGAGAGAGGGGGAGGCGGATAGAAGATGGATAGAGAAGATAGGTGGAGAGGAAACAGACAGGTCGAAGAGGCGGGGATGGAGCCAGTAAAGGTGAGTGTAGGTGGGGAGTTAGGGAGGGGATAGGTCAGTCCAGGGAGGACGGACAGGTCAAGGGGGCAGGATGAGGTTAGTAGGTAGGAGATGGGGGTGCGGCTTGAGGTGGGAGGAGGGGATAGGTGGGAGGAAGAACAGGTTAGGGAGGTGGGGACGAGCTGGGCTGGTTTTGGGATGCAGTAGGAGGAGGAGAGATTTTGAAGCTTGTAAAATCCACATTGATACCATTGGGCTGCAGGGAATATAGTTGCTGTTCCTGCAACCTTCGGGTGGCATCGTTGTGGCACTGCAGGAGGCCCAGGATGGACATGTCGTCTGAGGAATGGGAGGGGGAATTGAAATGGTTCGCGACTGGGAGGTGCAGTTGTTTATTGCGAACCGGGCGTAGGTGTTCTGCAAAGCGGTCCCCGAGCCTCCGCTTGGTTTCCCCGATGTAGAGGAGGCCACAATGGGTACAGCGGATGCAGTATACCACATTGGCAGATGTGCAGGTGAACATCTGCTTGATGTGGAAAGTCTTCTTGGGGCCTGGGATTGGGGTGAGGGAGGAGGTATGGGGGCAGGTGTAGCACTTCTTGCGGTTGCAGGGAAAAGTGCTGGGTGTGGTGGGGCTGGAGGGGAGTGTGGAGCGGACAAGGGAGTCACGGAGAGAGTGGTCCCTCCGGAAAGCAGATAAGGGTGGGGAGGGAAAGATGTCTTTGGTGGTGGGGTCGGATTGTAGATGGCTGAAGTGTCGGAGGATGATGCGTTGGATCCGGAGGTTGGTGGGGTGGTACGTGAGGACGAGGGGGATTCTTTTTTGGTTCTTATTGCAGGGACGGGGTGTGAGGGATGAGTTGAGGGAGATGTGGGAGACACGGTTGAGGGCGTTCTCGACCAATGAGGGGGGCAAGTTGCGGTCCTTGAAAAACGAGGACATCTGAGATGTACGGGAGTGGAATGCCTCATCCTGGAAGCAGATTTGGCGGAGGCGAAGGAATTGGGAATAGGGGATGGCATTTTTGCAGGAAGGTGGGTGGGAATCTCTATCAATATTCCCCTCATTTGCCTATCCCTTTCATCTCTCTCTCTCTCTTTCTCTCTCTTTGGGATGTCTCCAACTATCTGCTCCCCTCTTTCCACCAACCGCACCCCCGCTGCTATCCATTCTGATGGAGAGTCAACAGACTCGAAACATGAACTCTGCTTTCTTCCGACTGATGCTACCAGACCTACTGAGTTTCACCAGCAATTTCTGTTTACAGGTAGTTCTCGTATAATGCGATAGTTGCGTTCTTGTGTAATCTCACACTATAGAAAATTGTGTTATAGGAAATCGCTATACTTGTACAGCAGAAAGTCACGTTATCCAAACAGTGTCTGCTATTCATCAATCGCATTAAAGCCAATTTGCGTTAACGAAACACACGTTATAGCAGAAATATCTGTATATTGTATGAATCATTCCACTCACATTCTTTCACCCATCTCATCCTCCCAAACTGCAAGCCCTTCCTGTACACTGTGCTTCATGTTGCTCACTGGAAACATCTCAACACCTCAAGCTCGTGTATTGCCACTTATTGCTTTTCCATCCACTACCATCAACACCTTCCTTTGCCTCACTGCAGGCCAATTTGGCCCAAGACCAGGCCAAGGGGGCCAAGACTAGTGGTGGACATCAGGATCCTCACTCCCTGTTTTATATATATATGAGAAGCTATTGACGTTAGCCTGAAAACAGCACGGCCACACATGTGGGGACACTGAGACCTCAACGTCCAACTAACCCAACAAGCTTCATTGTATTATTCTGCACTGCTCTGCCATTAACACCAGTGCCAACTCATGCTTAACATACAAAAGCTTTTATCCCTCTTGGAAAACTAATTCTGTCCCTTCTCTCATGCAGGCACTCATACCAAAGAGAGGCCAGTGTTAGAGACCCTCACTTCCATTTCCATCTCTGAGGAGAAGGCCTCTAGAACCCTTACAGGATGCACTGGCAAGGCTTTCACCTGCACCTCAGTAAGCATGGCGACCTTCAACTTGGTGGGTACTCTTTCTAGATTAGTCTTGGCAGCACAATCTGGTGAGCACATCACTGATGTGTCTCCACAGCTGGTCAAGCAAGAAGCGTCCCGGGTCTCAAACACTTAGCTGGGAACCAGGCACCTACTCGCCTCAGGGAGAAGACAAGCCAGTGGTCTTGACTATTAACTTGGTCAAAATGCACAGACAGGCACAGGAACAGCGGGCACATTTGCCAGGGGCATTCAGTAGCTAGATCAAAGAATGGTGGAGTCCACCAATGTTATCAATGCTGTGCTGGCTCTAGCATGTGCGCACCTAGCTGTCTGCAATAAAAGGATGATAATTGCCATGGAGACCTACATCCAA